CTATCTGGCTCGGCAGAGGCCCGCGCCGCGGCAGGGGAGGGAGGAGGGGGGGGGGAGGGAGGGAGGGAGGAGGAGGAGGAAGAGGAGGAGGAGGAGGAGGAGTAGGAGGAGGAGGGAGCAGGAGAGGGAGAGGAGGAGGAGGAGGAGGAGGAGGAGGAGGAGGAGGAGGAGGAGGATTTTTTTTTGATTTGCGCGCGGGTGATCGTCTGCCGAACACTCCTGCCCGTGGCGCCGAAACGACGAGCGAGGGGCCCGAAGAAGGGCCGAAAGAAGCGAGGGACGGACCAGGACCCGAACAGAGCCGAGCGAGGGACCGACCCGAGCAAAAAGGGACAACGAAAACTCGAGGGCCCGAGACACGCGATGCTGGCAAGACTGGTGAAACAATTTGAAGCCCGCGTCCTGGCTCCTGGGCTTCCAGCCTCAACCTGCCAGGCAGCACATTATACAACAGACCAGCAAGGCGGCGGAGAGCCCTTTCCTCTCTTCGCGAGCCTGGGCTGGGGGGGGGGGCAAAAGGAGCACATAAAGGATGAGCGGGCGCAGGCGGTGCGGGCGCCTGCTTCTCAGCGCCTCTGTACCCACTCATCCTAAGCCTAGCCTATGTCCGACTGTCCGACTGTAGGGAGAAAGCATAGACAGAGAGGCTGCACAGAAAACCCCAAGCGGCGGGCGGGCAAGAGTCTTCTCTCTTCGCGAGCCTGGCCAGGGGAGGAATGACAAGAGCACAGAAGGGATAAGTGGGCGCAGGCGGAACGGGTGCCTGCTTCTCAGCGCCTCTGTACCCATTTATCCCAAGCCTATCCTACACTTCGACTGTCCGACTGTCCGACTGTAGAGAGAAGGAAGCACAGACAGAGAGGCGTGCAAAGCTATCCCCGCGGGGCGGGCAGGCAAGAGTCTTCTCTTTGCGAGCCTGGCCAGGGGAGGAATGACAAAAAACACAGACGGGGTAAGTGGGCGCAGGCGGAACGGGTGCCTGCTTCTCAGCGCCTCTGTACCCACTTATCCCAAGCCTACCCTACTTCCTGGAGACTGTCTCTGTGGCGGCCAGGAAGGGGAGTACTGCAGAACGACACTTCTGGCGGCTGGTGTCGGGGATCCGAGTAGTCCTGCCAGCATCAGACAGACGAGACAGACCAGATATCCCTAGGCGTGCCCGTGCGGCTCGGTGGGCAGCACACACACCAGAACCGTTACATCCACCCCACCTCCGAAATATACACGAGAAATCTACGGGGCCATCTAGAAGCCATGCAGGATCAAACAATGCCTGAAAATTAAAGACATCGTGAGGGGCAGGAAAGGCATATATAACGTTGACATTGTCAACCGCAGTGACCTCACCGACTGGTTGACCAGTGCAGGGGTCACGACCATCACACATGCGTCGAAGCCGTGAGATGGTGCCAGAGGCCCGAGGGGGCCCAGTGCATAATTTAGTTAAATCAGCTGCTTTCTTGCACGAGTAGCGGCCGCATCGTCGACAAAATATGATATTATTTAGCCGCCTGAGCACGTGCCCACCGCCAGTGGGAGAAGAACACTGTGTACGCAATAAATAGCTCTTGGAAGCTGAACTAGCCCAACAATTCAAGCATCGAAACCGACCCGCCGAGGGGTCCCAGAAGTGCTCATGCAATGCCCCAGAGGAGGCACCAGAGAGGACTAGGGATGGGGCCGTGGGGGCGGGGGACTCATCAGAATCCACCACCCAAACCTTTTTGGGCACGTTCTTGAAAATCCATGCTATACAATGCCCGATATACACACCAAGATTGCGCACAAGCAATCCAGAGCGCTTGACACGGTCGTGCAGTACCGTGTCCAGTGTGTGTAGGTCAGCACCTAGGTTAGCAAGTCTGTCCGCTTGCTTATTACCAGCAGAGGTAGAATGGCCACGAACCTTGGTGACCTTAATTAAATGATACCCAATATCTGAAGCCGCACGGTGGACACGGACCCACAAGGATGCGTGAGTGGCCCATCCGTGCGTGGTAGCTTCATACCCCAATGCCCATCCGTCCACAACGTACTGGGCATCAGTGACAAACTCATAGCAGTCAGAGGGGGCAGCATGGGTTAGGTAAAATAAAATAAAAAAAACGCATAAAGCTCAGCCCCTGAGACATCCTGGGTGAGAAAGGGATATGCGCCATATGCACCAGCATTAAGCCGAAGCCGATCATTGGCGATGGCCTCTCCGAAAACATTGCGACTACGCGGGGCAAATGAGCATGCGCCCCATCCACAGCGGAGAGTGAGCGGCGAGGGACCATGCTTTCCCGAGCCGTCTCCAAACGCGGGCGACGAGAAGAAGGGGCCGTCTGTGGCTCCTTCCCAGACAGGGTCTGGAAAAGGTGGTGCGAGCAGGGAGCAATAGCGAGGGTCGGGAACCAAGGCAGTGGTCCAGACAGGGTTCTCGCGGCACTGCTCTATGCAACGGGTGAGGGCTGGAGTCGGGCCGAACCAACGACGAAACTCCACAAGCCTATCACGCTCATACAGGGTGTGAAACACGGGGTCAGAGGGGGCGACCTGGCAAATGGGGCACGCAGGTTTAAAGTAAATGCCCCCAGATAAAAAGGTCCTCAAAGCACGTTGCTGGAGGACACCCCATCCTTCAGTCTTTTTAAACAAAAGGGAAAGAAGAGGGGGAAGAAAGGGGGGGCCAGACAGGTGACTGAAGGATGGGTGACGCTCAGAGGCCTGTTTCCAGGGCCAGACAGACGCGTCGCGAATCACTAGTGCCACCACTTCACGAGGGGAAGTAGACGAAATATCAACGTCAATTCCAAGAGAAGTACGCCATATTGTAGGCGAAACCGCAGACCACCCAATTCTACGCATAGTGGCAACCAAAATTTGCCCTGGGCCCTGCAATTCAGTCCACGGGGTATCTGGCGTCACCTTGGCGTAGGCAAACTGGAAAACTTGATCTATCATTCCGACAGGAAGAAGAGAGTCCCATCTAGAGACAGTCCAGAGACGAATAACCTCAGCATGAGCATCGATAGCAGGATCGGTAACACCATGCAGCGCCAAATCCATCGTGACAGACCTACGCTTACCTGTGCCGAGACCAGCGTGGTATATAGCACGGACCTGACGAATCTGGTGAGTAGATAGACCGACAACGTCAACGCCGTACATGACAGTGGGCCGCAAGTTAGTGTTTACAATACCTGCTACCTTTGCACCAGCCTTCTTTATCTTCAATAAGCGACGGGCCTTAAACCTGGCCTTTTTCAATCGGCCAGTAAGAACAGGACGAGAACGACGCCCCTGACGTAGCTGATGGTCAATCCCAAGGTTTCGACACGAGAACTTGACTGCATATCGAAACTAGGAGTTTCAGCTGCAATGCTCTGAGCCAACTGGGGGTCGGTAGCCAAGAGCACGATTTTCTTCTAGGAGAGCGGTAAACATGCCGAGAAGGTAAGCATGCTCATCAAAAGGTGCGACGCATCGGGACCGATTTTGAGCAACTCCCTCTCCGAGCCTACCCCCAGGACCTGGGCGTCGTCGGCGACGAGGCCGGCGTGCATATTTGGATAAGACTGACGAAACGAATCCAACTCGGGCATCAATAAAATACGCATAAACAGGTCGGCAAAAGAGCAACCTGCTACAATAGTCTTGCTAGCTCTGACCCACTCCCCAACAATTCGCCGCAACGTGACAACACGTGGGGAACGATGCAGAGTCAGGAAAACCCTCAAGAGTGCTGGATGAAAACCAAACTCACTAGCACGTCTTATGAGAAGTTTGTGGCGAACCTGCTCAAATACCGTCTGGATGTCGAGCAAAAGTGCAAACACAGACAAACCTTTGGCATATGCTAACTCCGTGAGCACGCCCATGCGCCACACACATGCCTGGCAGGAATGACCGCGCACACCGTACACGTACGGACGAGGATGCAATCGCGCCCACATAGCACCATACGTGTGCCTGAAGAACCGAGAGAACGTGCGCACACACGTCGTGAAAAGGGCAACCGTACGCTCGCCACCATCAGGCTTCGGGATCAGATTCATGATGCACACAGCGAGAATGGGAGGAAATCTACCCAATCGCAGAACAGCACGCCAGATACCAAACAGGGCAAGGAGAGACGAGTCGGAGAGCAGCGCGTGGTGACGTGGATGCATAAAGTCCAATCCCACCGACGTACGAGCTTTGTACTTGCGACACATCTGTCTGTACTTGTCCAGGGACGGGTGAGGCAAGGATGCAAGGCAGTCGGGCGGTAACGGCGGAAAATCCAGGGCTCGGCAAGGATCGTCAGGGTGCTCCTGCATGGGCTCCCAGATAGCATGCCAAGCTACTTCTCGCGCCTTGAGATGATGCTGCGGCGTACCGACTGGGGCATCTGGGTTCGGGGTGGTCTTGCCAAAGGAAGCCCAATCCATAGATCCCTTGACGAATCGGTGCGCAGCAGAACCCCCTTCCTGGACCGAACGAATGGCCCATGATGTCCAGGATTGGTACCTCTGCGCCGATGCTGCGCGTTCCAGAGCAGATGCAGACTCACCCAAGACGCCCCGCAGCCAGTCTATGGAACCCAGACCTAGGGTATCAAGCCTGCTGGCATAATACCTCCACCACGACCAATCGGGGGGAGGACCACCATCACGCTGCGAAGGACGATATCGGCGCAGGGCTTGGCAGGCTCTCCGATATGCGGGCCACAGCTGCTTGTCAGCAAGATATAGAAGAGTACCAAGACGGTTAGAGAGATACCTCCAGAGCCTTCCTTCGTATGACGAAAGCACACCACCAGGAAACAGTCTGGAAACCGAGATCTGGATGGTCGAGGAAGGCTCACCCCACTTGGCGTAATCCTGCGGATCTGGGAACTGGAAAAGGGCAAGCAACTCCTGGGCAGACGTCTTCAGCCAAGAAGAGGTAAGGCGTTCCAAATCTTCCACAGAGTTGACTGCGCCAGGATCAGGAAAGGCACCCCAGGAAGGCGGGCAGTTTGAACACCCCACTGG